AAGAGAAAGCAACGCTCCTTCTCCAAGTTTGTTTCGTCTGCTTCCTTCGTGCCGCCTATGTAAAAACACGGTTCAGTTATTTATTTTTATTTTTTCTTAGCTACAAATCTTTTCTATCCCAACTCCCAAGGCGAACAACTTCGTCTCGCAAGAAATCGGCTCCCCAGAAATTAAAATTATTAAGTGCAAAAAGACTCTCCGCTGAAGAAAGTGAGTGCCAAGCAGAAAAGACAAAAACTGCAGGTTACATTGATCTGTTCCAGTAACGCAAAGTTATTACTTTTTTTTTCGGTATTTATTCAGATTAATATTTCATCTGGTATTTCCGTGCCTCAAACTTTAGTCGCGATAGCGGCATGATTAATGTTGTTTGCACAACTGTATATATGAGCCAAGATATTGTCTGTCTATAGACCAACGCGCTGTTTACAAACAAGTCGGCGTTTTCCCGCGCCAGGTGTGGACACCTTGAGCCAGATCCGTCTCAAGTGATTCGTTTGTGCATGCGCCGCGTCGACAGCAGCACCACCGCAGCTGTATGATGTCAGAGCTGCGATGATGACCTGGTGGTCAGCGTAAATCTGGTCCTCCTTCTCGTTGATCTTGCGACGTCGCCGCGCTCTGAAGGGAACGAGGTGCAGGTTCGGGGTCCGGCCGAGTTGAGCGCTACCGAAACCCCGAGGGACGGGTCAGTGCTGATAGCTGCCCCGGCTGCGCGCCAGAGATGAAGGCTACCTTCGAGAGTGTCACAAATCCGTCACAACGCAGGTGACATGCGACGAGTGCCACGGAGAAACTCACCATTTATTCCGCATTCCTCTCCGGTAATTTCCCAGCGGTTGATCTTAGCGTCCTTATCTAGGTAGTCTGGCTGCGACTTAATTGTCATACAGAAAGGGGAAAAGTCGCACAGTTCCGAGGAACCGCTCCGTTGGGAAAAGCACTGGGGAAATAGGGATTGCAGACGAAACTAAAGTACGCTACGCTCCTTTACAACGTGAAAAATGCGCGGACAAGCGGCTTGCCCGTTACCATGGCCTCCGCCACCTCCCATTTTCTCTTTTCTTCGGCAAAAAACAGGGGATCGGTGGCCGAGTGGGCTAGCGCACACCAGCTTGGAGCACGTAGAGCGAAAGCTCGCGCTAGTAACTTTAGTGCACTACTCCACGAGTGGCAAGTTTAGTACACTAGTCTATAGGAAGTATTCACTGGCGGCCATAGCTGTGTGCGCGACTGCTGAGCGCGTGCTGATGGCGAGCTTCCACAGTTCTTTTGCAACGTGCATTCCGCACCCTCAAGATTACCGGTCTTAGCAGCCTATATATGTGGGCTCGTTCTGAGTATGCGCTCTAAACAGCACATGCGCTCAAAGTCCTTCTGAAAATGACTGATTTAGTGGTTTGGATGACGCTGAGCAAGTTTCTGATTGGAACCATATGTCCATTTTCACTGATGAAAAGTTAATTAACGAAGTTTAATTAATTAGATGACTTATCGCAAGGATTAGGAACCGACATAATGTCCCCCTGGCCGTATAACTCACCTCCACAAGCGGCATAAGTGTAACGTTCACGGCTTTTTTTAAACAAATCTGTTAAGGCTAAAAAAAAAAAAAGACACCCGGCCCTCAGGGCGCCGCCATCTTGTTCAGACGGGGTGCGCTTGGGCGCGGCCCTAATCCGATTACGACGCCTTAGCGAGGCTTGGTAATCGGATTATGACGGTCCAAGCGCACCCCAATCGAGCAAGATGGCGGCGCCCTGAGGCCGGACTTGCACTGTTCTTTCTTTCTTTAACTCTAATGAAAATGAGGCTTCGATCAGTGGCGTAGCCAATATTTTCTTTCTCTTTTTTATTTTTTTTTTTTTTTTGGGGGGGGGGGGGGGGGGGGGTGTTGTTGAGCTGCGGGGAAGGGGAGGAAAACAGGGTCGGCTGGGTTTCGGGAAAGGGGGGGGGGGGGGGGGCGACTGAAGCCCCATAAGCCCCCCCCCCCCCCCCCCCCTTCCCCCGGCTGCAGCTGTGAACTCACCTATGGCCGGCAGTGAATACTGAATACTCACTATTGCCCATTGCTATTTCACCTAATATTAATGGCGAACACAGAACAGCCATCTGCTGGGCGGGACTGTTAATGTTTGGAACAGTCCCAATACCACTCCCCCCCCCCCCCCCCCCCAAAAAAAAAAAAAGGAAAAAATAATAATGAAAAAGGATTTGAAGCTTTGTAAACATTTTTTTTTTTTTTTGTATAGAGAAGGCACTTAACGGTAAATGCACGAAGCTCCTTTGGATTCTATGCCCGGAGAAACTGAGGGAGAGGAGGAGACGAGAGCGCGCGGAGACGTCAGAACGCCGAACTCTGATTGGAGGGATTAGCGGGTAGACGCAAAGCTAGCAGTAGCAGGCTCCTCTATTGGGCAGGAGATCGAACTATAGGGGGCGCTCTGACCCGTTTGTTTTCCCCACGCTCGGTGTTTACTCAACGCAAGGCCTGTGCACATGCCGACAGGCCTTATGGGCGTGGGCATGTCATCTTCTACAATAGAGCGCGGGGCACAGTTTAATGTAAAAAATACTAACAATCGACGAAGCGACGTTAAGTGCCGGATCTATCCTCAGAGAATGCGAGCTTGACCCACTTCGGCTTTTGTGCTAAGCAGGGATCGTGCATGCTGCATTGTTCATGCAGGCCGTCGTGGAAACAAAAGAGCCCTCCTCCCCCTCGCCGGAGAACACGAACTCCAGTCGAACGCTGACGCCGCGTTCGGTTATGTCGGCCGAGCGCTGCGTCATTGTATTTGTTGTCCCCACCCGTGTAGTTGATAAGTTAACCGCTTGGGGCGTAACGGTCTGTCCTCCTCCCCAATCTCCACTCGTTTTTCGAACGCGTTCGATTACCAAGTGCCGGCGTCCAGCTTTTCGCGTTTCCGTTCGAACCTTTCCGAAGGGAGAATAGAGACAAATATGCAGCTATGCGAAGCGCAAGTTCGTCTGCTTCTTGCACAGGGGTTGCGATAATATCAGAACGCCAAACTCTTATTGGCTGATTGAAAAAAAAAAAAAAAATAGTAGGTAGATTTTAAGGCATTTGGCATCGAGGCCTGCCCAGTGCCCACTATCCTTTCAATCAAATCCAATCAGATCTCGGCGTCCTTCTGACGTGACTGCAACACCCGTGCAAAAAGCAGTTTGCATATCCGATACGGTGGGTCCTCTGATACGAACTGCGCATGCGCATTTCGTACCGGAGGGCTCATATCGGATGTGCAAAAACGGTTCCCTAAAACTCCCTATTAGCAGATCGTCGCGCGATGCTCATGCCACCGCCCAGTAACGCGCGGTGGATAGGCGGAAGACAGCGCACGATATGCATCTAAGAAATGCAATTTGGCGGTCAAACTGAACGTTTCTGTGTGGGTATTTAGAAAGAGGGAACTTAGCATGCGGAATCGGGGGCATCTGGTGACTCCGCTTCAGTAAGTGCAGTGCGACTGGTACTTTTTTTCAAACCGCATAACGCAGTACCGCATAACACGACCGACCGCAGGCAGGTCGATGCGCATCCAGAAAGAAACCGGCCTTGGCTGTTATTAAACGAAGGGTCCTGGGTAATGGTTATAATTATTTATTACTATATCTACTCCGCTTCTCCTTACGATGCCCCGCAGAGAAGGCTATGAGCCACCGAAGCAAATACAATGCCATGTGAGTGTCAGGTGACCTCGGGACCAGCGACGCGAGAGACGCCTAGTCACGTGAGGCATTCTCATTGCTGCATTGGCTTAGATATGGCTGGAAAGCGTGCCCTGCGAGCCTGCGGCTCATCGCAAGCCGAAACGATTTTTCAGAAGTCACCAGAACGCTGCCAATGCACCCGATATCTGTAATTTTTTTTTTTATGCTTGTTATTTTGGTGGCTACTAAGCCACCAAAACATACGCAACTCTCGACAGACAGAGAAAAGAAAAGTTTAGCGGCTATTTTTGATAAAAGCGGCATCCACTGAATGAAGGTGTTTTATCTTCTGTTTTTCATTTTCGGCGGTCTTGGAACGTCTGCATTCTTGACGTTCCGTACACTTTCGCGTGTGAGCAGGTGTGTGGCAAATGTCCGCGAGTATCGTCATAGCAGTGAATCTAAATAACGCTAGAGAAAAGGGAGTCGATAGAAAGCGCAAAAGGGGTAGGAGATAAACGCCCAGTTCTCGGAAGAAAAAAACACTCTCGATGAGGACCACTCTTTCCGAACATGGAGGTGATCTTGTTCACTTGAAGTGTCCGACAAGTTACAAGTGTTGTCTTGGAGACACATTCCTCTTTATCTATTTCTTCTCCACGTTGTGGAAAATCCTGGTATTTAGTACGGTTACAGTACGATAAACATGACTCCACATTTTCACTAGATGATACTGTTCCTCCTTTTGGCGGTTGTGTATTTTAATAATAATAATATTATTATTATTATTATTATTATTGCTGTTGTCTTATCAGGTAATCGCAATGCTTTTTTCTTTCAATAATATTAAACAAGACGAAAAACAGAGTAACAATAGTAGGAAAAAGAACTGCCGTGTGCGCATTTTATGATAACAATTTTTGACAAATTGAACACCCATATATTCTTCACACATAGTATCCCGATTAATGAATCTATGCCGATACGAGCTGAAGCTAAAACAATTATTAAATGCGGAACTACTTATTGATGCAGCGATATATATATATATATATATATATATATATATATATATATATATATAAACTTCATAATAACCATATATACGTAACTAACAAGTGCAACAAGATAAAGCTTTCGACCTTATTTGCAAGTTTTCCGGTGTCATATTAATTAAATCACGGCAGTGGCAGAGGCAGTAGCGGCAGAAAAAGTAATAGTGGCATGAATAGCATTAAACTTCATAATAACCATAAATCGATATAAATCAATTGAATGAGTCGGTGCCCGACAATAACATTCCCCGAAAACGAGTAAAACTTTACCTCGTTTAGTGGTCGAAGCTCTTGATGATCAGACGTGGACGCCCCGTTAATCCATGGTCGCAAAAAAACGGCGGCGATTGCCAGTTTGAAAAGAAGCGTGGAGCCGGCGCCACAACTCATGCCTGCCTCGTCCCTCGCGTGTGAGTCGCAAACTCTTGCTCGCTACGGATACCTCGGTGCGCTTCGGAGCGCCGATGAGCATGGAATCGTTTTATAAGCCGCACGGTCGGTAAACGACTTTACGATCTGGGTACGTGGCGCCATCTAGGCCTCGTGGTAGCAACTACTCTTGCAGGTACCGTGTTTAGTGCCGTCGTCTGCCGCTGCTCTTCGTTTTTGCTTGTTTCGGTTTGTCCGCGCTTTGGTTGGCCGGGTGCAAGAGAAGCGGACGATCTTCTTTTGCAGGTAATTTTTGACATTTACAACATTTATTCTTATTCGAATATTAAACGAAAAAAAAAGTTGAAGTTTTTTTCTTTTGTTTCGGCTTAGACGTGCCGAAATGTCTCGGTTTGAAGCGCAGTTGGATTCAAACAACCGAGTTGTCCCGTTTTTATATTTATTTTCTTATTTTAAGTGAGTGAATTCTTGCTGCCAGCTGTCTGATCACCTGGAGTTTTTTCAGACTTATATTGGTGCACGCGAGGTTCTTGAACTGATAACGAGTTCCCATTGATTGTGGAACAGCTTGCTGGAATTTAATTCGGACATGTGGCTTGCGCGTGGAGATGTCTCGTGGCACCGGCTCACCGGCTTGTGCAAGTGATCGTGTAGGTTGCGCTTCTACGATGGCAGATTTGGTGGCAATTCGGGCACTGACGACCAATAAATCGTAACCAGTTCGCGTTTATATTCGGTAAGGTGTCTTTATTTTATACGGTCTTCTCAAACATACGCCGGCGGCTAGCTGTGGAGCAGCGCGTGGCTAATAGAACAAATGAAGCAAAAATAAATTAAAGGAGCCATTTTAAACCGTGACAAGCGATCGTTTTCGCACGCCATCACTTCTGGGTTTCAACATTCGATAGAATAAATTCTTGCAATACGAATTCTCGTTAGTATTGTTATTATTTGCTACTTTTCGCTACTCCTGGCGGACTGCCCGCGAAGATCGCAACCGGAAGTCATGCCGGGGACAGGAAGTTGAACATACGTCGTCTTGCGGTGATTCCGCTGAAGGCAGCAGCCATATTGTTCGCTGGATGTGAAATCTTTTCCAATCCTACCCCAGGAATAATTAATCGGGACGTTTGTGAACGTGACGATGAATCTCCGATGTTTCCTCTAACGGTCCGAGTGGTTATTTTCGAAGTGTGTACCGGATCACGACCCGTGTGAGGCCATCGCTCGATGAGGACCCCAATTGAAAGTTGCAATCTCGCCTTGCAATGAGCCTGCCTCAGAAAAATAAATACTCTGGGGTCTCGCCAAACTTAGCGCAGCAGTCAAGAGGACCGCACACGTATCCTTTTAGGATTTGCCCCTGGATGAGCTACCCTGTCTCCGAGGATCGACCCAAAGGTTGGCTTCTGTTTTTTCCCCCGTATTTTGTAACCCTAAATTCGGCGATTTTTTTGCGCCCTCCCTCCCTCCTTGTCCGCCGCCGCTTCGCCGCCTCGGCTTTTAGGCCTAGACGACGCCGGATCCTTTTTTTTTCCACTCTCGAGTAATCGCGCCAAAGATTTCCCCCACTGCGCTAACGTTGTGACGCTGATCGCGGATTCAGCGATGCGTGCTGACGCCAAGTTTCGGGAGTAGTGGCCCCCTCCCTTCCGCGCTCCGGCTTCGCAGCCGTCAGCATGCGAGTGCGGGGAGTTGCGTTCATTGAATCGGGTGTGTGTTTGATGATGGCATGAACGCGTTCACCGTGCGCCAACATCCGCCGACGGACCTAACAGCTGTCCGTTCAGCGTACCCTAGCCGCTGGCTCGCGTGATCCTGTTTTGTGGCTGGCGGGCATTTAAGCCGGTGTTGAAACCGCTTTTGTTTTTTCGGGAGCCGAGAGCACCGTGTCGCCGCGGTCTGAACCCCAGGGACGATAACGACGCGCCCGGGCGCCGGCGCTCTCCGCTCGATACGACCACGGTGACCGTGGATAGAATTTCTCCGGCCCCAGAATTTGGGTCACAGTGGTCGGCCGCGAAGACGTCTTGATTTGTTTTTGTGCGTTTATTTTTTTTTTTTTTTTATATACTTCTCTCTAAAGCGAACGTCGCTTGGAATCTCCCAACATACGGGGAAAAGAGAAACTCTGTGCTTCGTTTGAATGGCTACTGTCGGGGGAAATACCGAAAAACGAACGCCTCAATTTCAAGCACTCGCACCGTCCTTTATGTGATTCATCGCGATCGCTGATGTTTCGAGATCACATCAGTCTCTTCGTCATGTTTTATGATTCAGAGCGATCATCTACCCTTTCTCGTTCTTGGTCCAACGTTGTTATCTTGGTCGAGAGAGTGACTTTATCGGGTCAAAGTGCCCTCTTACTCCCGTCTCGTCCTTGTCTTCACCATCCCATTTACCATCTTGTTTTCCCGTTTTACTGTCCCGGTTTTGGAGGAGCTCCACTGGTGATTGGTGGTAACACTGATGACTCATTTTGGCACTGACTCAAGTGCATACCCTTGGTTTGCAGTTAATCAGCAGCACTTCCGAGATGTCCTGCGTGATTGATTGTTTGCGGGAAAAGTTCTTAACAGCCGCAAAAGAATGCAACTCGTTCTAATGCATTGCTTCGTGACATGCGTAGCATAGCTGCTGGAGGTGTCGTGTTCCCAATCTCCAGAGGATGCTGGTGCCTGAGGTCTTAAGCAACCTGAAAGATTTGTGCAAGCATGCAACTGGTTTTCAGTGAATTTCGAATACAATACCAGGAGAGTATACATCTAATCTTGATTGCTTTGCTTAAAGTTAATATATTAGTTTGATGTCAAAAAATTTGTATGTCCGGTAGCTCCTGTGATGTGCCTATTCCCTTCCGTGATGTGCCTATTCCAGTGTGACTTCAAAGTGTTTAGTGCAGATCACTTGCATGTTTCTTTCCAAATACTTCTTAAAATATTTGCTGTACACCACACTACAACAGTTTCTGTGTCAAGTTGATGCCTTCCGCCATTAGTGTTCTGCCGTTCTTGGTGCTGGTGAAGCAACCTCTGAAGCAGCCCTTTGTCAAACTGCTCCAGACAGGGCGGTGGTTGATGGCTCTGCACATTTCACGATACCTTTAGTCTGTCTGGCAGATAGCTCTGAATGTTGGGCCGTGATGTCACCTTTATTTCTGTTCGCATTTTCTTCCGACAGACATTCAGCTATGTCTCGACCTACCGAGCACTTCGGTGCCAATTAGGGTAACAAATTGTTAAGTTAATCGAGTTTGGTGGACCCATTTGCCTACAATATTTTTCGAAGAATGGTGCTGACCTGCTGGTAGAGCAGTTTTTAGGAAAATGTCATTGGCTCATTGACATGCCTTATTACATGATTGCCCCGATTCTGGGGGTCGACTTTATCCCAGTGCCATGTTGCACACCAGATAGTAATGTGCGGTAGCTTAAAAATACTCACTACAAGGTTGACATTCAGCTCAAGCTTTATTTACAAATTCGGGCTTTGTTTGCAATGTTTTTCCTTGAGCATTATTGATACAAGGTTTGCTCTTTCCTGAGCTGTCCACATCTTCTCTGTGCAGTCTGCAATTCATCGCCATATCTGCATTCAAATCATTACCATTGCTTATCATGACCTTTGTGGTGTAGGAACGCTCCTATCATGTATTTTTCTTTGGTGGTTAAGAGTCCAGAGCAGTTTGTGGGAGCACATCATGGGTAAGGAGTTATCACTTTTCTGATAACTACATCATTCACTGCAATTAAGATTTAATAGCACTATTGTATCACCAGTTTTTATTCCCACAATTGGAGTCACCCTTAGCACATTCAACTTGACGATGTATCGTTAGAAAGCGTAACATTGTGCCTAAGGCTAATGACATAGCTCGTGATGCGAGGGTCACGTTACTGTTACCGGGTGGTGAGGCACAGTGACATCACGTCTAGTGGGAAAAAAGAGCAAGCGGCGGGCATTTGTTTCGGCCAACATAGTTCCATGTAGCGCAAATTGAGACATAACCCAGCATCAATGCATGTCATTTGAAGCACAAAATATTACTGCTGATCCTAGAGTATTCCGTCTTCTAACGGTTTCGCCTTCCCCTCCCTCTTGACTACCCCCATTTTTATGATGTGTACGACCTTTACTTGTTCCTAGCATTTTTTCTTTTCTATCACTTGAAGAAGGGCATCGGCCCGAAATGTTGTGTTATCCGTCCCAATCACATCCTTTTCTAGCGTCGCACAATCGTATGTCTTTTGCGATTTTCTGTTCAAGCTCATTGTGCTTGGCAGCGCCCCCATTTTCTTGGTGGTTGTCCTTTCTCCACATTTTCGGCGCCTTTGTGACAATATGCACTGCTGCTGGCATTTGTCACTGCCTGGGAGTCTGGACCGCTGGTATCTTATCCTTTGGTGATAAGTGGAGCAAGCTGGCTTGGTCTCTGCATGCCGACAATGGTTGGAATTCCAGTCGTCTTCCACTGGACACTGGGCATTTTCCTGAAGATGTCTCGTTTTCTCCTCCAAAGCGAAGGTAGCTTTACTTTGAGGATAAAATACCGGAGAGGAACGTGAGAATTGGTCTTAAGGAACATTCAGTTTAGTTTGCATTCATGCATTGTTCAACTGACATGGCTGACTTCGTTCATTTAATTTTATATTGATTGACTGCACAACTTACACGCATTGGGAAATCTGGATGTTTCTGGGGTGCACTTAAGAATGTGCCTTTCATCCTTGGATTGGACCAGCTTTGACTTGTGGAGCTGGTCTGATAGTGAGGGTGGGCTGAGGAATTGTTTGTCTTTGGGGTTCCATTTCATCTCTTGTGCCAGCTTTTTCACAGTCGCTGATATACTGTAACTAGAATTGTGTGCTGGTACCCTCTACGGACTAGCTTCTCTTTGTGTTGGTGTGCATATTGTATGCAGTTTACTCTCAGAGTATTTTAAAGCTGAGCGGGTTACTAGTGAGCTGTTTAGCACTGTGCACATTGTGGCCTCTTAGGGTGACCTACAGAAGAAGACTAGTTTCTTTTTTGCTTGAAGCCTGGTTTCTTTCAGTCTCTGAAAGATATGGAGGAAATGTGAAATGAAAAATTAAGAATGAGGTCTACACTGTTCATGATTCTAATTTGGCATCATTATTAAAGAAGTATTTTCTATTGTCTGCTTCATCTATGTAAAGGGCTAATCATACTGTACTATTAAGCAGCAGGCCAGGACACAAGTTGGTATTGTCGTGATCTCTCTACAGATGATGCTGGTGGAAATATAAAAATTAGGAAAGCAACAACCCTTTAAAATGGGCAGAGCAGCTCGTTAGCTTACAGGCATGTTCCTGTCTTCCGGCGCTGAGCTAGGGTCGTTTCTTACTTGTGACATCGATCATGCACTATGTGCTAGTTTACCATCTCATAGTGGTGGTTTCCAAGGTTACCAAAAGAAAAACATATATATATATATAAGCTGACTCGTCTGTGTAGGTGTAGACGCTCTGTTGCTCTCGGAAACGTGTCTAGGAATCTTCCTACCCAGCACGGGTTTGTTGTTGAGGCTTCATGGCGGGTCATTGCCACCAGGAAGAGTGTTCAAAACAGCTTACTTCACCTTGGCTCACATCCACATTTTTTGTGTGTGCTACTTTGTTTGTTTTGTTTGTTCCAAACATCTGGTGTGTAGAAACCTCCCCATGGCTCCTACTGTGTTGGGACATATTTCTACCTGTTGCAACTCCATACTTTGAATCGCAGCTTTTCGCCCCACAGAAGTCAGACGAGCTGGTTTTCAGTGGGACAGGAATGTAAACTTTCGGCAGAGGCGTTCCTGGTTTTGTTCAGACATCACCAGGTATCAGGAGCTTCTCAACAACTACACCTTTGTTGCAACTATACAACTAATTCCTGGGATTGTTGAGGAATAGACCTCTTTCAAAAGTTCATTGAGCAACATTGGCAGTCACCATTGCTGGCTCACGAGAGTGTGATTGGGTCGGAGTCCTCATCGAACGCTGACGCAGCCCTCGTGTCTAATATCAGATTATGTTAGCAAGCAACGGCGGACAGGCGTTTGCACTGACTTTTGAAATGGGTCTATTCTGTGTCGGAATGGGCTCGGTACAGAAAAGTGGGCAAAGAACACTGAATTTGAAAGCCGCTTTCATCGGAAGTTGACACGTGACCTCAGTGGCTTGCGGAAAGATTCAATGAATGCATCAACTGGTGAATCTCAGTGTTTGAATTGTATCTTAATTTTTAATATTAGATGCATATAAGAAAAAAAGTTTCATTCGGGTGTCTGCGATTTCTCCTCCAGCTGTAGGTCATTTGCACCTCAAAGCACATGTTTTCAAGCCTTTGCTTGACAGCTTCATATGTTTGCTGCCACATGCTATAAGCATCTTGATGCCCAG